GTTCTTGTACACTGATAACATCGATCTTCTCCGTCCTTTTTCCCGTTGAGCAATCAAGAATTGCTTATCTTCATCATTTTTAATAATTAAATGGGCTTCAATGTGTGCTGTATCAGGTAAATCCTGAAGCACTCGTTGAATTCATTATCTTTTCTCATCTGGGTCTCGGTTCGACGGCTGGAGTTGTATTTCAGCCCCTTCCTTTTTTAAACATGACCCACCTTTTTGATGCAATGCCTTTTGTCCCTCGCTGTAAACGGTTTCACATGGAGATATTAGGGAAACCTAACACTTGTTTGTTTGATGGTAGTTGTGTACCTTTAATAGTCTTCGATAAGGTAACACACTTTGCCACGTCTGCTAGAAGCGGAATCACTACACTTCGTCATAGTATCTGAAATAATGAGACTAAAATAAATGACAAAATACAAGTAACAAAATTAACAAAATGCAAATAACAGAAATATCATATACATATACAAATTATTTATAAGAACTGATTTTTGCAGATGCATAAAAGAAATAATAGGTGAGAAACTTATGGTCCATTGAGCCACCTCTAAATATTTATATTTCTCAGTGAAATTTGACACAGTGGAGTTTTGGCCCAAAAGGAAATGTTGGGGGTGGGTGACACATACTTTTTGTGTGTATGTGTATGCATGAGAAAAATCCTAATATATGAATGTATACGTATATGTGTGTGTCTACTTTATAGTCAGCGTCTATCACTCTATTTAGAATTCGGTTTGTTCTTGGAAAACAATTCGGAAAATTTTAATAACTAATTCAGCGGCCTACCAGTGCGATTACTATGCTGCTTTCGTTTCGACAGGCTAAGTAGTACTGCTATTTATCCCCCTCTTGACATGTTTTACTGGTTGTGTCATAACTGTTATTGGTACATGTTCGGACTGCGTTGGTCTCACCTCAAAATAAACACTTACAAACAAAGCAACACACACACACACACACACACACACACACACACACACACACACACACACACACACACACACACACACACACATCCATGTTCTCGTAACACCATGAATACTCCGAGGGCTGTCTGGGGTCCATGAAACAATCGCCTGAACTAATGATTATTTTCCTTTAGTGATTTGCAACCATTATATCGGAAAGTTTGGTGATCAATTTAAAGAGTGAAACAATTTTCTACTATCAAGAGATAAAATACTGCCTTGGACGCAGAGAGTACAATATGCAGTTATTTCCACAGGTGATATTGCAATCTTAAGGGTACTTCCTAATCGCAGGGACAGACAAATGCTTCTTTAGTGCTATACTTAAAGTTTTGTAGTTTGAATATTCAGTGGGAAAAGATTAACGCTTACCTGTTGAAGGAGAGAAGTAGTGAGGAAATAGCTGCCGTAGTTTCTGATTATATCAGTTTTCCAGTTTGTGGAAGAAACAGAGGAAGTTCACCTTATTGCATTTTTGTTTTCTTATTCTTATTGTCTTTCATTATTATTTTCTTACTATCCCCACCTCCCCGTCTTCAAGAAGGACGCGGGCGAATTCGGTTGTTCAACAGAAATGTTGTAATTTCATCTTTATTGAAAAGCATTTCATTTCGCAAAAGAGAGAAGAAAACTAGCTATTCAAATAGCTCAACACATAACGTACAATTTTAGAAGTGTTATTTCAATTATATCATAATATAAAAGAGAGGTATATGATGGTGATACTGATAGAATGAATAGTAATAGTAATGGTAATAATAATGAGGAGGAAAGTAATGAACATAAAGTATTAGTAGTAGTAATGGTGAGGATAATACTGACTGTGCTCCTGCTGATGCAAATAATAACAATGTAATAATAATGCAAATGATGATAATAATGATGATGATAATGATAATAAAAATATTGATGATAATCATAATGATAATACTAATAGTGAGGAGAGAAAGGACGGAAGAATTATCATCATCGACATCATGTAACAGCAAAACTGCGAGCAGTAATAGAACATAAACTGAATTACGCGTTCTTACCTAATGATTTCAATATGGGAGCAAAGTTAATCTCAGATGGTCCCTTTTTTAACTGATGCACATTTTTAGCATAGACATTTTTTATGACTTCCATACTTCAATATTTCTGTTCGGAAAATTAAAATTTTTGACATTTTTCGTCTCTTTACTTTCAACATATTACTGTGACATCTCGACTTTCTTGTGTTCAAAATCATGAAGTCATCTTTGTCTAACTTCACTCTTCCTGTAACATAGTTGAACAGCAAAATTATGCCCCCCCCCCTTTTCCTTCTTTCTTCCAAAGTAGTAAGTCCTATTTTTTGTAGTCTATACACGTAGCTCATATATCTTGGAGTAGGTGCCCACCTTCTGGTTCCTCTTTGAACTCTTTCCAATTTGTCATATAATTTTTAAGTGTGGACTTCATACCACTGCACAACACTCGAGACGATCTTATGATTGTTGTAATGATCCTTACCATATCTTCGTCCACATACACGA